ATCACTGAAGAAAGCTTCGTGACACTTGTCCTCGCCGGGCTCGGGCCAGAATGGAGAACCACACGATCACTTCTTCGCGCCCACGGAAGAATTTCGGAGATGCACCTCTGCGCCGAGCTTCACGCTGAACAACAGGAGATGGACCTGTTCGAAGAAAGGCAACCAAGGAAGCAGCAGCAGTTAGTCTTCTACACTCAACGAAGAAACGACAACACCTACAATCGACGCAGCAAGCAAGAGCGCGACAACAGAGGGACTACCTTTGTGCCGCCGTTCTGCCACAACTGTCAGACTTCCGGGCACTCCAAGGTCAACTGCAACCGCCCTCGCGTTTACCGTCCAGCAGACCCACAAGTTGCTTCAACCCAAGCAAGTCCCCCAAGGCGCTCTTCAACATCTGCACAACAGACACCAAACATTATCAATTGCATGGTACACATCGACAACTGTGCACCCGGCTCACCACCCACTTACGCGCCAGACGAAGAAGAGCTCCCGCCACAACGCTCACAAGGACTTCAAGTCAATCCGACGTACGCTGCGGTCGCCAACGCCGAACCAACCGGACGAAACACCTGGTTCCTGGACAGCTGCTGCGGTCAACACATGTGCTCCTCGGGACGCTTCGTGCAACAGGAGAAACGGCTCAACCGCGACGTCGTCATCACCGTCGCCAACAACGAAAACCTGAAGACAAACAGACAAGGCGTGGTTCAGTTACAATCCATGGAGACAAACGTAATACTTCAGCTCAACAAAGTACTCATCGTCGACAACTTGGGATACAACCTACTAAGCGTAAGCCAACTAATGGCCAAGGGGATTCACCTGGAGTGCGACTCCTTCTCCAACGAGTTCCGGCTTTACCACGGGAAGGGCGGCCTCTTCATCGGTCGTGCCCTCCTGAAGTCCGGTGTCTTCGTGTTGGACTTTGTCCCCGACCGCGGTACTGCCGACAGCGACGGTATCGTATCGTTCGCCGCCTGGACACACCCGCCGGATCTTGATCCCGACTTCGACAGTGACGGCTTCTGGCACTCCAACACCATACCTGCAGCAGAAAGAACACGAGCATTAGCAGTTATCAGACAAGAACGGCAAGTACCAACAAGCGTCCAGTCCCAACCATCACCTGCAGTAGCAGCAGCAGGACCAAGCCGAGTACCACCACCGGCAGTCCGAGGACCGCCAACCAAAGCAGATCAACTTATGCCCATCACACGAGAAGTCTGTCGAAGTCCCGCCACGGTCGTCGCATTCTTCTCCAACGCCGACATATACCACCGCTCACCCGGCCATCGCGCTCCCGACGACATCTGGCACCAACGCCTCGGGCACCCTGCAAATAGTACAATACTACAAACCATCCAAGCCGAAGTGTTAGAACGCAACGCCCTCCTAACAACGAACGGCCAAGAACTTCGACGACCTCGCGCACGGTGCTTCACGTGCCCCGAAGCAGATCTTCCTCATCAACCCTTCCCATCACATCATAATCCAAGCGCGCCTGCATATGCAACGATGGAAAAAGTCTACAGCGACATCTTGAACATGCCTCGAGACGACACAGAAGCCGACTTCAACTACGTCATCACCTTCGTCGATGCAGCAACAAGATACACTTGGCATTACAACCTCAAGACGCGCGATCAAGCCTTCGACGCCTTCACAACATGGCTCCCCATCGCCGAACGGGAATCAGGAACCAAGCTAAAAAGTTTCCAGTCAGACGGCGCACTGGAATACCAGTCACAACGCTTCAGGACCTATCTGGCGGAAAGAGGAATCAGGCGCCTGGTGTCCCTACCATACGCTCACCAGCAGCAGGGGGTCGCAGAACGCATGAACCGGACCTTGCAGACGACAATGCGAAAGCTGCTCCTGGGAATGAAACTGCCCAACACACTGTGGCCAGACGCGATGACACATGCAGTCCACCTGCACAACCTGTTGTCCTCGTCATCGCTCCCCAACAACGCATCACCACACCTGCTGTGGACGGGAAAAAGGGGCAGCACAAAATTACTTCGAGTTTTCGGCTGCATGGTACAATACAGACCCCACACAGCTCGAGCAGGACGCTTCACTCAACGAGCTCGGTGGGGACTACACCTCGGCATCGCCAAACATTTTCACGCGTGGAAGATTCTCGACATACAAGACAAAAATACGGTGGCATCACGTGATGTTATCTTCTACGAGCGACTGACGCTGCAGCATTACCTGGACAACATTGCCAACTCAGACGACCCCACCGACGGCTTCGCGGGCCTTCGCTCCTTCGCTGACCATGCTGCCGAGGCTGACGCAGCAGAAGAAGACGTCCCTGGAGCCTCGGAGGCTGCCGGACCACTCCCCTACTGCTCCGTACCTGTTCCACTCGATGAAGATAATCCCCTCGATAGCAACAACCTCGACACCTTTTACCACTTCGCTGACCAAGGCTACGCTACACCACACCCCGTCGACTCGAATATTTCCGAACGCATCGGGCCAAACTTCTTACCCGATCCTGAAGACGGTGATGAAGCAGCTTATCCCGGGAATGAAAATTCCCCTCGACACACAGCCACGGGACTGCAGATCCTAGGACTATGGGTCTCCGTCCAGCACCCGCCGCCGCCTTCTCCGCGCGAGCCATCGACCCTGTCGCAGGCTCTGGGGGGGGAACATAAGGCGCAATGGAAGGAAGCAATGGAAAAAGAGTTAAAAGCCCTCCAAGACCGGAATACATGGAAGTTAGTACCGACAACCAACACCAACGGGAGGAACATTCTCTCGGGGAAATGGGTGTACCGCATTAAGACCAACGCGGACGGCTCCATCGAACGTTTTAAAGCGCGATGGGTCGTACGAGGCTTCGACCAACGATACGGAACCGACTACACAGAGACCTTCGCCCCAGTCTCCCGTCACACCTCCTTGCGCATCCTACTCGCCGTCGCGGCCACGAAGAAACTACCACTACGGCAAATCGACGTCGCAAACGCCTTCTTGTACGCACCTGTGGACGCCGAAATCTTCGTCGAACAACCCCACGGATTCATCGACGACCCTTCAAAAGTATGCCAGCTGGAAAAATCCCTTTACGGGATCAAGCAAGCCCCACGGCTCTGGCAGCAGCACCTTCACGGCCGGCTCGTAAAAATCGGATTCCTACAGTTACCACATGACCAAGGCATGTACCGACTGCAGAAGGGAAGAGATTACATTCTGCTCATAGTCTACGTCGACGACCTGCTCTACATCGGTTCTACCACCGACATCGTCACCTGGTTCGAAGGGGAGCTGAAAGGGGACCTGACGCTCACGGTGTCCGACTCAGTGACCCAGTACTTGGGACTAAATGTCGTCGAAGACAACTCGGCGTTCTACCTACACGCTGGAAAGTACGCAGGCACTGTCGCGAAGAAATTCGGACTGACGCCGACTACGGTCCCGACTCCCTACCGCTACGGAAACAACAACAGCGCCTCCGCAAAACTCCCCGCGAAGCAAATCCAGGAGTATCAACAGAAGCTCGGTTGCCTACTATTCGCAGCAGTCACCTGCCGACCCGACCTGTCCTATAGTGCGAGTCAACTAGCGACGCATCTGAAGCAACCGGAACAGGAAGATCTCGAGGAACTCAACCGGGCACTACTCTACTTCGTCTCCACACCGACGATCGGACTTACCTACAGCAAAGCGACAACACCGTCCGTACAACTACTCGGATACGTCGACGCCGACCACGCGGGAGACAGGGAAAATCGACGATCTAGGACGGGCTACATCTACCGACTAGAACCCATCGGAACTATCTCCTGGCAGTCGAGCAAGCAGGAGTTAATCGCACTATCCTCGGCTGAAGCATAGTACATCGCCCTTTGTACTGCGACCAAGGAAGGACTCTACCTGCGAGAGTTACTCGAGGAAGCGAAGATCACGACCCTGCCCGCCTTCTCACTCTTCTGCGAGAACCAATCTGCGATCAAAATCGCAAACAAGGACGGCTTCGCCAACCGAACCAAACACATCGCCCTGCGGTACTTCTTCGTCAAAGATGAAATCGCGAAAGGGAGACTTCAACTCAGTTACTGCCCGACAACAGAAATGGCCGCAGACTATTTGACGAAGAAATTGGCAAAAGCAAAATTCGACTACTGCATGTTGCTGACCGGACAAACAAACGTCATCGGACCTGAACAAGTCAGCACTCCAGAAACGAAGGGGAGTGTTGAAAGTACATCAAAAGACTTAAGCGTTTCTGAAGTGTAACACTACACTCGAGGAAGATTGCAAGGGGTACGCGAGTCAACGGAGGTTACACGAGGGGGCGGACAAAGAACACGAAGGGTTTGGGACTCAAAGGGTCGCAACTGGAGGTTGCGACTGACCGTTACAACAGCACGGATGGTAACCGAAGCGACAATCGAGTCGCTGTACGACTCGATAAACCGCTACTGCAACTGTACTCTACAACTGTTTCTTATCTTCTATATATTGCTGTATGTTTGCCTTTTTATCATCACTTGTTCTCACATACTAGTACAAGGGTTCAACTGCCTCAACTTCCGCTGCACTACCCCAAGTCTTTACAGTTGGGACTTAGTCTCTGGAAAGATCCCAAGGGCTTTTCTCAGCCCAACATCAGAATTGAAGAAGTGTTTAGAAGGAGAGAGTACAGGGGTATATAGCCTAGAGTGCTGTACCTTCTAAAGCACAAACCTATATATTGTCTATACTAACATACTTCGATATGTTTGACATTCGAACCCCTGTCTCAGAGGTTGGACTAGTAGTGCCACCCTGAGCTGCGCGTTTCTTGCTCAACACTACCCATCTAGCCTAGGGGGTGTGTCACATTGTACATATCTTTGTATGTAGAAGTTATAGGCTAGATAGGTGTATTTTCTCTCTTGTTTATAACTATTCTAGTATTCTAACAGCCTGGATAGGTGCATGCTCATAGAGAGTAGAGAACACCTCCTCTGAACAAAACCACCCTGTATCACTCATTCTAGTTCATTGCGTTATTCTGAGAATACGGTACATGAGTTGTGGGTTGTACTCCCTAATAGCACGTACCTGCCTAGCCTATAACTAGTCATACATTACAAATGTATAAGTTGATAACCTACTCCCGATCTATCCTCAACCCATACATACTACTGGCTGCAAGTGCCCGCACCCCCCCTCTGTCCAAGAACTGCCTGCACCCTCCAACATCCAAGCGGTGCAGCATCCTCAGCTCAGTCAGGTCCTCTGGCAGAGCTGCCAGCTGCTTGCACTTATTCAGATTCAGCGTTCTCAACCGGGTGAGATGAGCAAAGCTGGGAGGAAGTGAGCGGATGGAGGTGTTCTTGAGAACCAGCTCGTGGAGACAGGAGAGCTGGGTGAGAGAGGAGGGAAGCTGCTCCAGGGCCAAGCAGTTGGACAGATCCAGCCTTCGCAGTTGGGACAACGCTCCAATGTCATGGGGAACAGAAGCTAGCTTGGGTGCCCAGACTTCCAAGGAGGTCAGGTGCTGCAGCTGGGTGACTGATGCTGGCAGCTCTGTCAGCGAATCAGCTTCGTGAATCAGCAACTGCCGCAGCTGCGGCATTGCAGATCCGATGTTGCTGGGAAGCTCCTCGAGGATACCAGCACTCAGAATCTCCAGAGTTCGCAGATGAGGAAGGGAGATCAAGGGGAATGGAATCGCCTTGACTGATTCATCCAAAACCAGCTCCAGGTGTTGCAGGTTAGCCAGGCTCCTGCTGAGCACCATCCCCCCAGACTGCATCTCAACAAACGTGAAGGACAACTTTTGGAGGCTTGCTGGCATGGCAATGTCTGGCAGGGAGGTGAAATTCTTTTTGCTTCCCAGCGTGAGAACCTCAAGAGAAGGTGGCAGCGGTTGAGGCGGCTCACACGGCAGCTCCAGTCGTTTCAGCTTCCTGAGGTTTTCCAATCCGCTTGGAACCATCAGCTCGCGACATTCAACGAATGTCAGCACTTCGAGTTTCGAAAGCGATGTCAAGGACTCTGGAAGCTCGTTGACGGTGCAGCAATGGACGTGCAGCTGCCGCAGCCTAATGAGATTCCCTATGTCCGCTGGAAGGTTGTCCATTGTGATTTTAGACAGCTCCAGCCGGGTCAAGGAAGACAGCTGCGTGAATGAGGCCGGAAGCAACTGATGATGGTCATTGTCGTTCAGAAGGAACGTCTGGAGACTGCTGAGGCCGCCGATACCCTCTGGAAGCACTATGCCTGGCATCTTCATCAGGCAGAGCGTTTTCAGACCGGTGAGGGAGCAGAAGCCTGCTGGCAGCTGGCGGATTTCCGGGGATCCAATCAGGAAGAGCGTCTCGAGGGAGGAGAGTTCGGAGAGGGAGGCAGGGAGATGGCAGAGACGAGGCAGCTCGTCCAGGACCAGCGTTTTCAGTGCCGGCAGTCTCCCAAAGTCTTCAGGCAGGCGGGAAAATGAATTACACATGGAGATCACCAAGCTCTCCAGGCTATTCAGGGAGGTAAAATCCTGAGGCAGATGAAAGAAGAGCTCACAGAAGCGGAAATTCAGCTCGCGGAGGTTCGGCAGCAGGTCGCCGATGCGATCAGGAAGCCGGTCCAGGTGTCTGGAGCTGGTGATCCGCAACCGCTCGAGGTTCGTGCAAGGCGTTCCTGAAGGAAACATCACCCTGAACTCCAGCGACTTGAGGCGAGGAATCTGCGCGATGGCGATTGCAGCAGCGCGCTGTTCGTTCCGAATCAATCTGGTGTAGTTGTAAATGGAAAGGTTGTTGAGGCTCGGGAGGCGAACCAGCCCTGAAAGTTGCTGCTGGCTGATCTTCTGTGAGGCAATGTAAAGAGATGTTAGACAACGAAAGTTCCCGAGACTAGGAGACTCGAGTGCTGAGGCGTCTGTTAAAGCAACAGTGCGCAATCTCGTCAGCTGAAAGAACGACGGCGGTAGGCGGATATCTTGGTGGAGGCAGAAGAGAGAAAGCTCCTCCAGTTGAGTGCACTGCAGAAAGAATTGATCCAGACCATCTTCGGTAATCGGATGCAATTCCTTCCTCGCGTCGTATTTCATATCTTGTGTGATCTTGTGGCCCACGTGGAGAGAGGTCAGCTTCGGACATGACGAGGCGAGGTGAGTAAGGAACGTGTCGTCTAGAGTCTCGACGCTGTTGTCGCATAACTGTAGGTAAGTCAGGCTCGGAAAACACGCGACAGCAGCTGAAAGCTCTCGGAATGAGAAGACTAGGTTTTCCTTGACTACAAGCGTGGTGACATGACGCTTCGCGAAACTACGCCATCGCCGGCAAACGGATGCGATGCGGAGACCCAGAGGGACATCCGTAAAGGGAGGAGGAGGAGGCAAGGGAGGCCTGTATACTGAAAGAATGGCCTTTTCGTCTGGAAGGTTTACAGTGACGTACTTCGGCCTCCGTCCTAGAGATTCCCAAACATCATCGCTGTCCGGTTTGCAAATCGTGGGAGGCGCGGGTTGGTTGTAACGCCACAGTATCCTGATGAGAATGTCGTCCGAAAGAGCGTGAATGCTTGTGCGAGGGGCCATCTTCTAATGCAACGCTAAATCGCGAAATGGCTGCTGAGTAGTAACTAGCAAATGTCAGGGCCAATTCTAACAGGCTTGGCTTGGATCTGTGCAGGTTCTGCTGAAAAGTTCAGACAAAAAGTATGCAGCTAGCAACCAGAGCAGCTGCTCCACGTCCAAGACTCGCAGAGTGCGATAAGGTTCATTGTCTGACTAGGGCGAGCTGGAGAGAGATCTGGTAGGGTTGAGATCTCGAGAAATTTTGAGCTGAATGTAAAGGGGTGGTTCAGGGAGGGGAGCGGTTTCAGGAAAGATGTTTCAGGAAGGTGTTATTGGTGGATTGGACAAGGCTCGACGCAAACGTCGGAGGCTTGCATTGCGTAGCCCTGTAAGGAATTTTCCATCAGGGCTCACGCTAAGGTTTTTGGGTTGCGTAGCAACCCTATAAAATCGGTTTCACATTTCGGAGCATTGATACGAACAGTAAAAATTTTAAGAATTTAGTTAACTGTTCGGTGCAACTCCAAAATATGAATCCAAATGTCCAAAGTGCTCCATCGCGTCGATAAGTACGGAGGATGGAACAATCAGACCGCATGACACATTTCAACAAAAATTTATGTATAGTTAAACATCCTGTAGGATTGCAAGTGCCAAGAAACGAGAGCATGTAAGCATTAGTAGTGTTGCAGTAGAGATTGATGGGGTGCACGATGACAGCAGAGCTGCCCCGGACACGATGACAATCTCTAATTGCAACACCTAGCCTATAAGCAGCACGCTCGAGGCAAACACAATCCAAATACACCTCGTGCCAGCCACCCCATCTCGTCGATAAATACGGTGGATGGAATGAACATGTATGTACGATAGGATTGAGAGTGCTACGAAACGATTGCATATATGCATCAATGCTGCAACAGAGATTGATGGGGTGCGCGATGACAACAGAGTTGCCCCAGGCACGATGACAACCTCTAATTGCAACACCTTGCATATAAGCAACACGTCCGAAGCAAACACAATCCACGCCTTATCACATTTGCAGCCACACGCTCTATGCACATAGAGACTAAGAGCAGCAGACACACCCCGAAACGGACAGTATTTATCAAACCCATGCACACCCCTCTGATGCAAACAACAATCAAACAGACACATGCAGCATCGCAAGTAGCCTAATAGTTGGAGTCCCCTATATCCAAATTAAAGAACAGTGATAACGTCGTGCAATCACAAATTTGTCCCCGCATGATGTTCCAACAAGCAATAGAAATTGGTGTTGGAAGATGTTCTTTGTCTTGCGGCTGGAACAGACAGCGCGTGCTATACGACCTGCACAGTACACCAGTGAATCATAGAAACACAACATACGTTCAAAAGTGGACCACATAATCTGTTTATTTGTTTATATGCATTTATGGTGTTACATATTGCGTTTGGGGTTTAAGGTTTAGTGCGGAAGTACTACATGGGATGGAAGGGAGGAAGAGAATAACAAAAGGGGAGGGAGAAAAATGGCAGTAAGGAGAAAATTATAGACTGAAATTGTGGGGACGCTGGCGATGACCTATGTGGTACCTAGGAATGAATGAAGGGATGGAAAGAGGAGTAGGAGAGGTTGAAAGGAGGGGGACACGCAAAAAAGGAATATGTGGCATGAGCAAAATGCCATAGCAGACGGCGCCAGCACGCACGTCACCAGCACAGACCGGGCCAGCGCGGGCAGCGCCAGCTCGCATGGCATGGCATGCTATGCCCATACATGCATACAGCCAAGCACGTTATGCACATACACGCATACAACTAGGCATGCTATGCCCATACACACATATAGCCAGGCACTCTATGCCCATACATGCATACAGCCATGCATGCTATGCCCATACACACACACAGCCAAGCATGCTATGCCCATACACACACACAGCCAAGCATGCTATGCCCATACACACATACAGGTAGGCATGCCATCCCCATACACACATACAGCTACGCTTACCATGCCCATACACACACACAGCCAGGAATGCTATGCCCATATACACATACAGTCAGGCATGCCATCCCCATATACACACACAGCCAGGCACGTTATGCACATACACGCACACAACTAGGCATGCTATGCCAAAACACACATACAGCCAAGCATGCTATGCCCATACATGCATACAGCCATGCATGTTATGCCCATACATGCATACAACTAGGTATGCTATGCCCATACACACATACAGCGTGGCATGCTATGCCCATACATGCATACAGCTAGGCATGCCATCCCCATACACACATACAGCAAGGCATACCATGCCCATACACACACACAGACAGGCATCCTATGCCCATATACACATACAGCCTGGCATGCTATGCCCATACATGCATACAGCCAGGCACGTTATGCACATACACGCATACAACTAGGCATGTTATGCCCATACACACATACAGTCAGGCATATGCCCTTACATGCATACAGCCATGCATGCTATGCCCATACATGCATACAATACAACTAGGTATGCTATGCCCATACACACACACAGCCAGGCATGCTATGCCCGTATACACATACAGCCAGGCATGCTATGCCCATACACACATACAGCCTGGCATGCTATGCCCATACATGTATACAGCCAGGCCCGTTATGCACATACACGCATACAACTAGGCATGCTATGCCCATACACACATGCATCCAGGGATGCTATGCCCATACATGCATACAGCCATGCATGCTATGCCCATACATGCATACAACTAGGTATGCTATGCCCATACACACATACAGCCTGGCATGCTATGCCCATACACACATACAGCCTGGCATGCTATGCCCATACATGCGTACAGCCAGGCACGTTATGCACATACACGCATACAACTAGGCATGCTATGCCCATACACACATACAGCTAGGCATGCCATGCCCATACACACATACAGCCTGGAATGCTATGCCCATACACACATACAGCCTGGCATGCTATGCCCATACACGCGTACAGCCAGGCACGTTATGCACATACACGCATACAAGTAGGCATGCTATGCCCATACACACATACAGCCAGGCATGCTATGCCCATACACACATACAGCCTGGAATGCTATGCCCATACATGCGTACAGCTAGGCACGTTATGCACATACAGGCACGTTATGCACATACACGCATACAACTAGGCATGCTATGCCCATACATGCATACAACTACGCATGCTATGCCCATACACACATACAGCCTGGCATGCTATCCCCATACACACATACAGGTAGGCATGCCATCCCCATACACACACACAGCCAGGCATGCTATGCCCATATACACATACAGTCAGGCATGCCATGCCCATACACACACAGAGCCAGGCATGCCATGCCCATACACACATACAGCCTGGCATGCTATGCTCATACCTGCATACAGCCAGGCACGTTATGCACATACACGCATACAACTAGGCATGCTATGCCCATACACACATACAGCCAAGCATGCCATGCCCATACATGCATACAGCCATGCATGCCATGCCCATACATGCATACAACTAGGTATGCTATGCCCATTCACACATACAGCCAGGCATGCTATGCCCATACACACATACAGCTAGGCATGCCATCCCCATACACGCATACAGATAGGCACGTTATGCACATACATGCATACAACTAGGCATGCTATGCCCATACACACATACAGCCTGGCATGCTATCCCCATACACACATACAGCTAGGCATGCCATGCCCATACACACACACAGCCAGGCATGCTCTGCCCATATACACATACAGTCAGGCATGCCATGCTCATACATGCATACAGCCAGGCACGTTATGCACATACATGCATACAACTAGGCATGCTATGCCCATACACACATACAGTCTGGCATGCTATCCCCATACACACATACAGCTAGGCATGCCATGCCCATACATACACACAGCCAGGCATGCTCTGCCCATATACACATACAGTCATGCATGCCATGCTCATACACACACACAGCCAGGCATGCCATGCCCATACACACATACAGCCTGGCATGCTCTGCCCATACATGCATACAGCCAGGCACGTTATGCACATACACGCATACAGCTAGGCATTCTATGCCCATACACACATACAGCCAAGCATGCCATGCCCATACATGCATACAGCCATGCATGCTATGCCCATACATGCATACAACTAGGTATTCCATGCCCATACATGCATACAGCCATGCATGCTATGCCCATACATGCATACGACTAGGTATGCTATGCCCATTCACACATACAGTCAGGCACATTATGCACATACATGCATACAACTAGGCATGCTATGCCCATACACACATACATCCAGGGACGCTATGCCCATACATGCATACAGCCATGCATGCTATGCCCATACATGCATACAACTAGGTATGCTATGCCCATACACACATACGGCTAGGCATGCTATGCCCATACACACATACAGCCAGGCATGCTATGTCCATACACACACACAGCCAGGCACGCTATGCCCATATACACATACAGCCAGGCATGCTATGCCCATACACACATACAGCCTGGCATGCTATGCTCATACACACATACAGCCTGGCATGCTATGCCCATACATGCGTACAGCCAGGCACGTTATGCACATACACGCATACAACTAGGCATGCTATACCCATACATGCATACAACTAGGCATGCTATGCCCATACACACATACAGCCTGGCATGCTATCCCCATACACACATACAGCTAGGCATGCCATCCCCATACACACACACAGCCAGGCATGCTATGCCCATATACACATACAGTCAGGCATGCCATGCCCATACACACACAGAGCCAGGCATGCCATGCCCATACACACATACAGCCTGGCATGCTATGCCCATACCTGCATACAGCCAGGCACGTTATGCGCATACACGCATACAACTAGGCATGCTATGCCCATACACACATACAGCCAAGCATGCCATGCCCATACATGCATACAGCCATGCATGTTATGCCCATACATGCATACAACTAGGTATGCTATGCCCATATTCACATACAGTCAGGCATGCCATGCCCATACACACACAGAGCCAGGCATGCCATGCCCATACACACGCACCAGTCAATGTTGATAAGGTTGCGGCACATCACGTTGCCCACTACTGCTGGGTTGAATACATTCACCTGAGGTGGTGAGCAGAGACACGGTAGGGACA